GATGACAAGGAGAGGTCCGGAATGATGGAGAAGCTTGAAGAATGGTTTCACTCGACGGGAAAAATACGCCGGTACGTTCTATGCAGGCATGTGTAAAGCTCCTCTCTATCGATAAAACTCGGAGATCTCTATATCAGGATGGCTACATCATATCCCCTGCAAGAAACAATCGCCTAGCTAGAGACTCCATCAATCCATCATCGATCATAACTCTTGCACAACTTCACCGTTATTAAACCTTACTTTCTTTGTTCCAAAAAAAGGTGGAATCTCCCACCCCAGGAGCCCCCACCCCGACCCGACAGGATGTTGAGGAGGTTAGTCATGGTGACTCAGTCAGCAGAATGGCAGTAGGCACATACACCTTACTTCCACTTCAATAGGGGGGAATCAAATTATTTGAGTGCATTAATGGTTGTCAGGCTTTGAACAGAATGATGTACGAACATGTTAGGTGTTGAATTTATCAAATTATCATGTTTGGTGTTCAATTCAATTGCATTTCAAATTACTACTCCGTATACTCTGTATTCTTTACAATAATGTAAAATAATGTTACTGTTTACAAAAATGACAATATCAGATTTTGAAAAAATACATTGTTAGTTGAGAGTGTATTTTATTGTCATAAATATGTCAAAATGTCAGACCAACACAATTTTAAATAATGACAATGTCACGAAAATGTCAATGCTCATTACAATGTAATATCATGTCATTCTTTAAAATTTGAAGTCATTGTTTGAAAATCAATGTCGTTGTTTAAAAATCAATGTCATTATATGACAATGTAATACGATGTCATTGTTTAAAAATCAATGTCATTATATGGCAATGTAATACGTGATGATGTCAATGTTATAAAAATGACATTAAAATGACACAATTTCAATGACATTGTCGTGACAATGCCAATGACATTGTTGTGACAATGCCAATGACATTGTCGTGACAATGCCAATGACATTGCCGTGACAATGCCAATGACATTGTCGTGATACTGCCAATGTAGCCTGGACATTATCAGCCCACTCGTTCATGCACTTTAAATAAACAATGTCGTCAGGTTAAGAAAATGTCAATGGCAATGTCATAATAATGTCAATAGAAAACAATGTCAATGACAATGTCATAAGAATGTTAATGACAAAGTCATAAGAATGTCAATATAAAACAATGTCAGTGACAATGTCATAAGAATGTCAATGATAATGTTATAAGAATGTCAATGTTAATGTCATAAAAATGTCATTACAATGTCATTAATTATACTATCACAATGCTAATGAATAACAATGTCAATGTCGTAACAATGTCAATGACATTACAATGTCAATGCATAACAAAGTCAGTGACATTGTCATCTACCTATCAAAATGATGTGATGGATTTTGAGAATGATATTTTAAGTCACTGCTGATCAAAATGCAGTAAAGTCCAGAATGGCGAAAAAGTTGACAATGTTGGAAAAATATCAAAATGTTATAAAACTGTCACAATGGCAAAGGATGACAATGACAATGACAATGTCAATGCTATAAATGATGACATTGTAATATTACCAATGCCAATGAGTGTGTGACAATGTCATTTCCAAAGGTGTAGAAAAAATGTTACAACGTCAATGACAATGTCATAAGAATGTCAATGACAATGTCATAAAAATGTCAATGACAATGTCATAAAAATGTCAATAACAATGTTATAAGAATAACAATGAAAGTGGAGCCAAACATTTATAACAATATCATAACACACGGAGTAAACATAGAATAAAACATAGCACTTATCTTCTCTCAAAAAACCAAAACAATATGAGAAAGTGAACTAGCTTCATTTGCTAATCTTCTTCGTATGGTAAGCTGCATCAATATGAGAAAGTGAACTAGCTTCATTTGCTAATTTACATAGGGCAGCTGATGCATCTCTTTGGTGCTTTACAATTGTTGATTCCAGAAGCTCCAAAATCAATTCTAGTATTACATCTAAAAACAATGTCACAATACTGATATGTCATTGTAACTTTATGTGGTTGTCCAAAATGCAATAACACCCAGCAAAAAGACATTGTTACTAATGTTAAGATTAGAATCAAGAAAACTAATTTCAAATAAAAGAATTAAAGAAAAACTCAAAAGATACGAGTACTATTTACACCATAAGCAGAGAAGCACGTACAACCAACAAAAACAAAAGAAGAGAAAAGGCTAGCTATAGCTACAGATTTGTGTTTTCAAAAAAAAACAGCAACCGGATATGCGGAACAAAAGCTACCGGATCGGCCACACAGCTGCACCGCTGCACCGCCGCACCAATATACTACCGCACCGCTGCAAGCCTGCAACCCCGCATCTTCTCTGTTTTGCTACATCTGCAACGCCATTATAGCTCAGATGGGCAAATTTCTGGCCGGGATCGGAATCGTGGATTGCTGACGTCATTGTCAGAGATTTTTATAAATCTGGGAATCCTTCTCGGTTATGTCTCAAATTACGCGTTGTCCGGATTACCGCCACATATAAACTGGCAAGTAATGCTTACGGTGGGAATACTCCCTTCCGTCTTCATAGCTTTTGCTCTGTGTGATTCCAAAGTCTCCGAGATGGCTGGTTGTGCAGAAAAGGGTGGAAGAAGCAAAGGGGGTGCTGATGAAAACAAACGACATGATGCGGAAGCGAAAGAGAGACTTGTGGAGATTCAGTTTGCTGCTGGGGTGGGGACCACAAGTACCGATAAGTATGAGGAGAAATATTGGCGTTGAGGCGCTGGATGGTTAGGCGAGGCTCTTGCGGAGAGATAAGGTTCGGCGTGAGAGCAAAAGGCAACACGGGAAAGCAGGGCTAATTTTGGAAACATGGAAAAATTTGGTCCTATTTAAGAGTTAAAAAAGTCAAGGTCTTATTTTATTACATACGGAAACTTAAGGTCCTATTTAGCACCATTTCTCAACGCATAAATGAAATTGGATTTGACTTCAATACCCTCTCTAATAGCTTAGGCGTACGATTAATTAGAGGCTAATCCAATGGTTAAGATCTATTCTTTTTTACTCTCATAAGATTAAGTTCTCACATGATCCTAAATCTATATATATATATATATAAGAGATCAAATACAAACCATGCTTAAAATACTAACATACAAACTCAATAATATGCATCCTTTTAACTTCAGTATGCAGTAAAAATAATGCAAAGATGCAGAGGTGGGATCACATACAAACTAGTCCTCCCATTCAAATCATCTTTACATTATTTGTATTGCACATTGAAGTTCAAATGTTCAGGTCCGGAATTCCGGACCAGAACCACCGTCTGGCCGACGGCTTTTGGGCCCCTTCCCGGTGGCTTTTTTGATAAAATTTTTATGGCACGTTCTTCATTAAGTCTAGTTTATCCACAAATTAATTCAGCTAAAAACTCAATCCGGAAGGTCGTTAAATGATTTGTGGAAGTTAACTGTGTTTTATATGTATTTCTTAGCGTAGTTAACTTCAAAAAATCATTTGACGACCTTCCGGATTGAATTTATAGTTGAAATTTTGTGGATAAACTAGACTTGATGAAGAACATGGCATAAAAATTTCATCAAAAAAAGCCACTGGGAAGAGCCACAAAAGCCGTTGGCCAGACGGCGGTTCCGGTTAGGAAGGCCTAACCGGAACACTACTATATATATATATATATATATATATATATATATATATATATATATATATATTCTCTATAAATGTAGATTTACGCCTCAATTTTACGTCTCATTGCGCCACTAGGCTTACGCCATACGCCATAGAACGAGAGGCGGATGATTGTCAGGGCAAGGATGGAGTGATGGACTCTAGCCTAGTCCAACTTTTTTTATAATTAGTATAGGTATAGTAAATCAGGTCACGCCAAAATTTATTTCATCCCACCCCAAAATCAAGTAACTTCAATTGAGTTTTTTTCAAAAATAATGTTAGGTAAAATATTATTTAACAAATTAAGATCTAGTTAAAAGTATTTCTCAAAATACGGCTTCCAAATAAGGCTTAGGAGTAAAGAACGTAACTTGCAATGTGTAGGCCAAAAGGAGAAGGTGACATAGTGGACCCCCAAAAACAAAAAATCTCATTTTTAATTCAAAGTTAAATAACTTTTTATTTGTACTCTGATTATTACAAAAAATACATCAAAAATCAAAACTTTTTATTATCTTTCATATGACATCAATATCGAATATATAAAAATAAAAAATAATTTAACACTTTAAAAACCATCTTTTTTTGTATATGTTTTATCTTTTTTGTTAGTATTCTGATTGTTACAAAAAATATATCAAAAATTATAACTCTTTGTAATCTTTCATAAGACACTAATTTTGAATATATAAAAATTAAAAAATTTATTAATTAGTTTTGTAACAATTAGAGAGTTTCCCTCCAAAATAATGTTAAATAAAAATTCATCGTTTTTATTTATTGTTTTTCTCTGTGCAGTTTTATTCTAATCTATCATTCTTGATAAATTGTGTCCACGGTAAAAAACGATTCTAAACTGCATATATTAATAAAACTAATTTTTTAATTTTTATTTATTCAAAATTAGTGTCTTATGAAAGATTACAAAGAGTTATGAATTTTGATATATTTTTTGTAATAATTGGAATACTAACAAAAAAAGATAAAACATATACAAAAAAAAGATGTTTTTTAAAGTGTTAAATTATTTTTTTATTTTTATATATTCGATATTGATGTCATATGAAAGATAATACTACATCCGTCCCGCTATGATTATCCCATTTTACCTATCCGTCCGTCCCACTAAGATTGTCCCATACCAAATTTGGTAAAGTTTGTGTGGATCTAAATCATTCTTACTTTATTAATTCAATATCAAGCACATAAAACACTTCTTATTAATTTGTGTGTCACTCCCTGTTGTCTCATTTATTAGTAATAATCAGAATACAAATAAAAAAGTTATTTAACTTTGAATTAAAAATAGATTTTTTGTTTTGATGGGTCCGCCGCTAAGCCACCTTCTCCTTTTGTCATTGCAAGTTAGGTGGGTTGCTCCTAAGACGGCACTCCAGGTGGGGTTTTCAGTTTAGGGAAAATACTACTCCCCTAATTTGGTAAATGCTTTTTTATTTAACATTATTTTTGAAAGAAACTCGATTGAAGTTACCTGCGTTTGCGCTTGCGAACTGGCCGATTACGAAGAAAGAAAATCGAAGCCAAGAAGACGGAGCTTCAGCGCTTGCGAGTTGCGACGAAGGGAACGTCAAGCCACCGCCGTCCACGGCGCTCGTCTAGGGCCCTGCGACCTGCGTCGTTGGCCGTCCTTCCTGCTTCCTCTCTGGACTCCGGCTCTGGGCTCTGCCTCAGTGCCTCCAGCTTCACTGCTCGTCTGCTCAAGGTAAGTTTTTTAGATTTTTAATCTAATAAATTGTGATTGTGTTATTGTATATTATTATTTTTAGCCTTTTAGTGTTAGGGTTAGTCCGTTAGTTAACCAATTTGATTACTAATTGAATTTTTCAGTGCATAATAAAATAGTGTTTAACTTATTATAAGTTTATAAATTATAATGATTACAGATAGAATTAAAGATTAGAAAATGATTTATTTATCATACAATTGAAGATTAGAGAATGATTTATTTATTGTGTGGAAAGAATTTTAATTTCAATTGAATTTTGAAATTGGGAATACTTATTAGTTTTATGTACAATGATTGCTTTTTCCCTCATCTTTTTTTCCTAGTTTTTTTTTATCCTTATATATATATATATATATATGCATTATTTGCAGCCTTTTTATTTTATCATTTCTATATATATTCATCTTTTTTATATTATCTTTTCATAATAGCTTATCTTTTTATCTTTATTCCTTCTTTTCCTTTTGGTTGTGATATCATGTATCGATTCATGTTAGCCGACCCCAATATCTTTTGGGACTAAGGCGTGGATGTTGTTGTTGTTGTTGAATATTGAAAATATTTTTTAGAATAGATAAAGAACACATTGCCAAGAAAGGAAAGAAGTTGATTTCGTCATTCTTTTCGAAAGTGAATCGTCAAAGTGTTGAAGGGAGTTCTGAATTTATGACAGTGAGGATATTTGTAAACTTGCACAAAAGTTTTATCCTGGATATTTCACTGGTCAAGACATTGTCTCACTTGAGTTTGAGTTGATTCACTACAAACTTAATATTGTTTCAACATCTCAAGTTTTGACACTTGTTGAGTTATGTCAATATTTGACGGAGAGCGGGAAATCAGAAATTTATGTTATGCTGACATGATTAATTCGTCTTGTTTTGACTATGGAAAGAGCATTTTCAGCAATGAAGCATATGAAGATGACACTTCATAACAAAATGGGAGATAATTTTCTTGAATATTCATTGATGATCTACATTGAACGAGATTTTGTCAATAATATAGATGTAGATTCTATTATTGATCAATTTTATACTTTAAAGTTGCGTAGGGCACAACTTAAATGATGCTTTGAATATTTAAAGTGTTGACGACTTACGTATTATTATGCATGTGTCTTTCAAATTATTTTGTAGCTCACCCCATTGTAACTTTCTGGCTTCGCCGCTGCATAGAACAAAACTGCCTCGTGAGCGCAATACGCAATTTCCAACATCAGTGCTCCACTGCTCTGTAGATAATAGATGAGTAGATGAAATAAATTTAGCTTGCAGTTGATATATTGAAGTAACTTTTATTTCATTTGATGGCAATACTTATTTTACTTAATGACTATATTACTGATTATATGTGATTCATATCAATGTACTGTCTAGGGCCTCTAAATTACTAAAGGAGGTGATAGCTTGTGGGCGAAGAGCCGAGTCCTTTTTGTATCCCTAACCACACCGAACTAAAATTTCATAGGCAAAGTTCTTTCCAATGTGCCATAAACCCTCACTTTCTTCATTTCAGACCCTCATTTATCTGCTGCAATCATGCAAAGAATCCCAAGAAATCCGTCAAGTCCATGGCTTAATGGTCAAGACTGGCCTTGACCTCGTCTCCTTCCCTCTCAGCAAGCTTCTTGCAAGCTCGATCCGTGACACGACATATGTACTCAGTATTTTCAAACATATAAGTAGCCCAACCCTTTTCATGTTCAATACCATGCTTAGGAGCTATTCAATCAGTGATGACCCAAGACGAGCCCTTATCCTCTTCAATCAAATGAGGCTACAGAGGTTATTTGATCAGTTCACCTTCGTTGCCACCCTCAAATCTTGTGCCCGTTTTTCAGCAATCAGGACTGGTTTAGGTGTTCACTCAGTTCTTTTGAGGACTGGGTTTTTCTTTTATCTCAATGTGATGAACAGCCTCTTGCATTTCGTGTGTGCTAGTGGCTGGATCCATGATGCACAACAACTGTTTGATGAATTCCCTTATGACAAAGACTTGGTTTCATGGAACACCTTAATGGGTGGCTATCTTTCGGTTCACAAGTATGACATTGTAATAGATTTATATAAACAGATGAGTAGTCATGGGTTATATGTTAGTGTTAGTACCCTTTTGAATATTTCATCGGCCATTGGTGAGTTAACTGGCCGTGTATCAGGGGATTCTATACATTCACATTGCATCAAAATTGGTCTTTCTATGAATTTGAATGTTGCTAGTGCTTTGATTTCAATGTATGGAAAAATAGGTGGCATTGATTCAGGGCGTAAAATTTTTGATGAAGCTGTTGTAAAAGATGTTGTGATGTGGAACTGTTTGATATATGGATATGCTAGAAACGGAATAATGAGTGAAGCTTTCAGATTGTTGAGGTTAATGAAGTTTCATGGAGTGAACCCGATTGCGTCGACATTTCTAGGACTACTTTCAGTTTCGGAAGCCTCTGGAGATCTCACTGTAGGTCGATTTGTCCATGACTACATAAAAGAGCAACAGTTAGTTTTGGATGCAACTGTGGGAACAACTCTTATAGATATGTATATGAAGTGTGGTTTTCTGAAAGAGGCAGTTGAAGCTTTTGAAAACATAGAGAGGAAAGATTCTATTTGTTGGACTTCAATGATTTTTGCATATGGATTACATGGGCAGGCAGAAAATGCCATTTCCCTTTTTCACAGAATGGAGGAAGAAGGGTGCATGCCCAATGAAGTCACATTCTTGGCGGTGCTGAGTGCCTGTAGCCACAAGGGTTTGGTGGCTGAGGGGAAGAGTTTTTTCAGAAGAATGATAGACAAATATTCATTTTCTCCGAAGATTGAGCATTATGGATGTGTTATTGATCTCATGGGCCGTAGTGGGTTGTTAGAAGAAGCTAAAAAGCTAACCCAGAGCTTGCCCATTAAGGACGATGCCACTATGTGGCGTACATTGCTAGCTGCATGCAGACTGTATGGCAACATTTGTTTAGGGGAAGACATTAAGAGAGAGTTGGAGCAGAGGTTTGATGAACATCCAGCAGATTCGGTCACTCTCTCCAGTGCCTATGCCATCGCTGGAAGAATAGAAGATCGTGCAAGGATTCTTGAGAAAGCTAAAGGAAAACTAACGGAACGGTGGATAAGCTCTCCAGTTGGAAAGAAGGAAGTCGGATTTAGTAGAGTAAATGTGGCTGTCGTTCAGCAAAGAGAGGGAATAAATAAATAAAATAATCACTAATAAACAACAGGAATTGTGTGACATTTGGCCTGGAAAGAGAGATGATACCAGAAGAATAAATATTCAACTGAGTATTTCTCCAGCAGGTTGTATTCTTTTCCTTTGTGTATAAAATTCAATTTTTTTGTGTTTATGTATATGTAGAACAAAAATTTGCATGCAAACACGAAAGTAGACTAGATGGAAGGGCCGTACTTGCTTGATGGGATAGAACAGATTAGGTTTTGGCTGGATGTGATGATGATTTCAATTTCTTCCTTGTGAACAAGGTAGCTCAAGGCTCTGGCATTGTCTGTAAATGTAAATGGGTATCTAGGTGACCGAAGTTTCCGGTGTCTTACATTTGATGTGATGGTTGCTTGGGAGTTTCCCGCGGCTTCAAGTCAAGCATCTGCCAGTGTATGTGTCAATCGTTTGTTTATTTCGTGTAGTTTTAGGTCATTGTAAAAGTATTATTTATGTCACTCATCCTTGTAATTTATGCCTTTTTTTAGTTCCTCTTTGAGTCTGTCAAATTCCACTTTAAGAGATTATATGGTGCCAGCCTCACATAAGTCCAATCTAGCCCTACCTCTCTTTTTAAAGAACGCCTAATATTTTCTCTAGAGTCAGAAAGGTATAAGTTGGAAGGGAAATAGTGAGTTTCTTGCAGCCCTAGCTGCGCTATATGTTGCAATCAATTACAGAAAGTTGACATGGAGGAGTTCTGTGCAGCACACCAGTTCTTTAACAAGAGGTTGACCAAAAAACCACATAAATTACAAGGATGATTATCAAAATGATTTTAGAGGTTCTAAAACACCTAACATTATATTTCTAGGGACAAGAAACATAATCAAGCCTCAGGTATTGGGAAATGAAAACTTTCTCCTGCTGAAGTTTTTTATCAAATCCCATGGTGTCACCATAGTTGGATGGAAATATGATTTACATTTATCATTTCATGATTGGACCAGATACTGGTTTGGGTAATTTTTTTAATTGCAGATGGACGAAGCCACTGTTGGTGTGGAGTAGCCTTTTCAAGATTTTTTTCTGCAGTTCCATAATTGCCAATGTGATTGTCAGTGATAGCATTTTCCCCGTCCTTACTTCATCAACAGATTATAGACTTCATTTCTCTATCTATGACAAGTACCTCATTGGCATGGAAAGGTAGACTGCCTCATTTTCTGCTAACTCACCCCAAAAAAATTTCTAGCGTTGATGTTTACCTCACATTTGAATATTGGAGTAGACTAGACCGAAACTTAGTAGAGAACCAACAATTCTTCCTCTTACAGTCTTACCCTGCCCTTATGTATTTGAGCTTGTACTAGTTTGATCCTTACATATTCTAGGAAGTTCACTTTTGTAGTTAGGTTAGGGACTCACAAAGAAATGATTGAATATTTAAATTTGATTGAAAATAAATGACATTGTGCTGTGTGGTTCTTAATCCTGATGAAGATCCTGAGAGTTCAAATCCCCTCAAAATTGATTTCTTTTGTGGTAATTTTTGCTTATTAACAGGGTGCTGGTTAGAAGCACCTTGTACGCACTTTGCTACATGGGATGATTTGCATTTCCTCTTTGAGCATTTAGCACTTCATTTTTGCTTTTGTTGGATTGTCTCATCATTATCTTATAATAATGTAGCGATATCCTGATTCAAATATCAAGTGAAAATTGAATTCCTTAAATGTATCCCCTGTGATCCTTTTTAGTATCATTTTATGATGTTTTAAAGTAGCTAAATCACATAGGACCTATGTTGTTTCCGTAGTGTATTTTACTTATGCTTTGAAATAGTTGTGGTGTAACACTCCGTAACTCCCAGTTACGATATCAAATTTTTATCTTGCAGGGTAATTAAAAAGAAAAATTTCTTTTGTACACCTTATACACACCACTCATCAGCCTCCGTGTCTGTGAGAGTTTTTTTTGTATGTGAATGCCAATCGACAGACAAAACCTGACTTGTTTTGTCTGTAGAATTTTCCACAGACAAAACAGGCTGGTTTTGTTTGTGAACTGGGATTCACAGACAAAAAAACCTCTCCCAGACATAGACATGGAGGTGTACTGTGTGTATAAGAACATGTACACCAAGAATTTTTGAATTAAAAATTGAAGAGCCAGTCAGAGTCATCTCACCATTCCTCCCAATGCTTTGATAAAGGGGAGAAGATCTTGGAACTGGATGGGACCGTCACAACTCAACCTGTTCTTGAACACATGGGAATTTCCACGTGACTTGGTAGATCTGCGGATTTGAAATTGTTATTTATGCTAACAAGTTTAGATCAAACTGAGAAAAATGCCAACACCAAGGCACTAAAGCCAATACATGTGCTTACTTCACTTGATCGCATCAGTTAAATTGGACTTGACTAACTTCAAGAGGTCTCATACTTATCTCATACTCATATATTAGATTATGTTTAACGCAAACCTAGTAGAATCCGTGTGGGATACTCATTGCATCCCCTCAACTTAATTTGAGTTGGACAACTAAGGGATGGATAAATTTGCCTAAATCGACCTCCAAATAGGCTGCCTCAAACTATCAAATGAGTGTTCTCCTCACACTTGCATATAAGCATATTAGATTAAACCACAGTAGACAACTGATGTGGGATACTCAACAGCATCTTTAACTTCTTTTGTGGATGTATATTTCATGTTGCAGGTAGGTTAACTCTAACAGACCATGCTTTCTATTTTGAAGCACTACGTGTTGTGTCTTATGACAAGGCGAAAGTGTATGACCTCTTGCAAGATCTAAATCAGGTCATTAAACCTGAGCAAACAGGAACATGTGGCAAAGGGTTTTTGACAAAGCCGTGTTCTATAAATCAATTTCCTTGTAAGGCACGATTGCACGAAGCATGTCTATAGCATGCAATATTCCTTCCATGTTTATTTATCTCATGTAGTTCGGGATATGTTTTGCAAAACATGCTAATAAACCCGCTGATAGCTGATATATATTAACTTTTAACATAAGTTAGCTAATCTTATACTCCCTCCATTTCTGAAACAAATTTCACCTTTCCTTTTCGGGCAGATTCAAAATTAAGTTCCATTTTCAAACATTTCCTTATTATCTACATCAAAACAGTGTCAAACAGTGTCAAACAGTGTTCAAACAGTGCCAAACAGTACACTTCACAGTAAGTCAAATTTATTTTCTTAATATGTGTGAAGTCAAATGTGGAACATGTTTAGGAATCGGAGGGAGTATTATTGGATAAATATTATGGAGTAGTTAATAGGCTTGTTCATAAGCATAAAATATAAAATAAAATAAAAAATGTCTTGAAAGTTGAAACAACTTTAAAGTAAATTGTGGTTTATAATAAAGGGAAAAGTACAAAAAAGGTATTTGTGGTTTGGACCGTTTTCAGATAAGGTCATGTGTTTCATTTTTTAATAAAGTGGGACATGTGTTCCAATTTCGTTATCACAGTTGGGGCATGTGGCTATCGCCGTTGGAAAATTAACTTTGATTTTCAAAAGTTTTTGAAAAATTAAAAGAAAAATAAGGGGAGGTGTGCCTCGTCAAGGAGACCAACAAACTATATTTCTTTTTGGATTTTTCCGACTTTATTTGGTTTACTTTTTAAAAACAAATTCGCTAATATCACTTTTTTGGTAGATTTTCTAGATGAGGTGCACCTCCTAGTATTTTTCTTTAATTTTTCAGAAACTTTTGAAAATCGGAGTTAATTTTTTAATGGCATTAGACGTCATGCTCCAGCTGTGATAACGGAATTGAAACACATGTCCCACTTTGTTAAAAAATGAAACACATGCCCTATATGAAAATGGCCCAAATTTTTTATGTACTTTTCTTGAAAATAAAACTATATATACAAAACTCATTAGCAAGGTAGAAGTAAGGGAGAATGCTTCTTAGTTTTTCATTTCTATTTATGTTTTTTTCTTCACGTATAATTATTCTTATAATCCAAGATTTTGCTGCCTTTTAATGAGTACTGCCCACTTCTTTCCTTTCTCTATCTCTCGCATCATTAATTCCCCACTTTCTTACATTTCACCCCTCTCATTCTCAATTACCCCACTCATCATTAGTTTCCCGTACGCACGGCGTCAGCGCCATGCTGTCTGTTGATGACCCGGGCCTTCTGCCTCAAGCCACTGATCATGGGGGTCTGCTCTCTGGCCGCTGTATCATTGTGGGGCATCACTGGGGTGCGATCCCGGGCCGCGTGCTGTTGTGCCCTCCTGTCGAGCCTGGCCGCCGACTCCCCTCATGTCCGGAGAGTGGACGTTCCTAACGATCCTAGTGTGGACCGAGGAGCGAGACTCCGCGGTCTCGCCTGTACGCTCGTCGAGCGTCTGCATAGTGCAGATTGGGGAGAACGGGGTACGCTCGGTGTTAGCGGAGTACACCCCGCTCCGCCTCCCGCTCGTCCGCCAAACAGCGGATGGTATCCGCCATCTCTTTCAGGGCATCAGGGGCCCCTGAGTTCGTGGGGAATCATGTCAGTAAGCACCCCAAAGTCCCCGCGGCTCCACAAGCTGCTAGACTGGGTGCCTGCCGCCTGTTGGCGTGCTCTTCGGCTGCGTGACAGCCGTTCGGAGAGATCATAAGAGTTTCCTTCGTTAATTCCTGCCATCTTACTTGTTTTGAGTTGTTTCCTGGAGTAATTTCTTAGTCGAGAGCTTGGTTTTGGAAGAACTTTTGATCAGTTTCCCACAGACGGTGCTAGTGTTGAGGTTTATTCCCTTCAACTAGTAGGCCCAACGCACAACCTAAGGGTTTCGAGTGGGTAGTTTAGGAGATTGAGGTCAAACAAGTAAGATGAGACCCAATAAGAAGTCTTGGTTTAATTCCACTGTTACAAGGCGTGAGGCCATTCGTACAGATGTTGTGCTACGAGATAATAAGAATGCTATAGCTAGTATTAGAATTCTAAGTTGACACCCTTATAATGAAATAAATGCTTCTATTTATACTGGCTGATGATGGTTGAGCATGCTGATGTGGTGGGTTGTGGTTGGCTTGGATCCCAACCACCAAATCTCTGTATGAAATGGCTTCCCAACCACCATATCTCTGCATTAAATGCGCTCCCCGACAGGATCTTGGCTCCCCGCCAATGGGTGGGGACGTTCGTCTCCATGAGCTTGCCTTCTGTTTCCGGCTGGCCCCAAAATCCTGCGAGACGTGCGTCAGGCGCTACTCTTGGGTGAGAGCACCTACCTTTGGATACGTACGTCTCCTGGGTTGGCTCTGTTGGGGCCGAGCTTTGCCGCGATTTGGAGAGGATGATCCAGTTGGCTTGGGCTACTGGAGACGTTTTTCGCGTGGCCCAATCCTTATGACGTTGTGTTTCTGGAGACGTTCTTAGGGTGGACCTTATGGGTTTATGGGCCATCCCTGTTGGGCCATTAATCCAAGAGGAAGATTTCCCACTGCTAGTAGCTTGTTGAGGGTGCCAAAGTCAGAACCCGATTGTACATAAGCTGGTCTCCGGCCATCCTGTTGCTCATAGCTTCAGCATCGAAAAAAGGTCTTGCGTTGAAGGGAGGGGATAACGGTTTTGTGGGGTAGAGGGCAGTTTTGGTCTAATCAATATTTTCAGGATTAGAATAACCCTAAAAGTTTGACTTACTTACAGAAATATCTAGAAACAGTTAGAAGTTGGTAGATACTGGTTTTCAGCTTTAAAGTGTTTTCTTTAAGTAAAAGTTTGCTGATTTTAAGTTAAAAGGTAAGATGTGATTTTTTTATAAGTTCATGCAAACACTCTTTTGGCCCAAACAAAAAGGGACAATTTGTTAAAATGCCCTAAAAAGGTTTCCTATTTGTCAAAATACCCGGCTAACGTTAGTTATTGTCAAGCTACCCGACTCCGTTAAATGTTGTGGCCTACTTCCCATTATACCCTGCGTCAGTTAAAATGTTGTGTCGTACTTCTCATTATACCTCGCTTCAGTTCATAACGGGTTTCTCTTTCCGCCCGTCACATTATATCGACCTCATCCCAACGGCTCCATATTTACAACGGTAACATTTATTTCTGATTCTCAATTCTTTCTCCTTCCCTCTTCCACATTTATTTCAGATTCTCAATTCTTTCTCCTTCACTCTTCCACATTTATTGTTGATTCTCTGTTGTTGGTAAAGCTCAATTTGGATTCTCCTCATCAATCATCCTGCAAGACGAGGTTAGCTACATATACTAAACGCTCGATAAAGCTACAACTGCATCATCGACTGAGTACAAAAGCTTGTTAAAGCGCACTTTCAATTCTCTTCATCCTGCAAGACAAGATTAGCTACATATACTAAACTCTTGATAAAGCTACATCTGCATCATGTTCAGATTTTCTACCTTTTATGGTGCGTAGAATCATAAAACTCATACCATATTGTACCACGTGTCAATTTAATTCCTGAATTTAACCACGCTATTCTTAACTGCAAGAATAATTCAAATATGTTCGAATATATTACAATCATATGGTCGAGTAACAATTATATAGTGATCGACCATGCTATCAAAACTTTGGTTGTTCATATAACCTTTATTATTTTAGTGATCGACGATAATATGGTCGTCTACTTGTAGAATATATGGTTTTCATTTGGTCGACCACATGTTCGACCATCATGTGGTCGAATAACATTTATATAATGATCGACCATGCTAATCGACAATATAATGTAGAACAAAATAAGAACATGGTTGACCAACATTTCGTCAAACATATGAAAAATATGTGGCATATATTAGTTGAATATTGTAGTGTAATGTTTGTCAAACAATAATATTCAACTTTATGCAGATGGATAAAGTTAATACAATGGGAAATGGGGAGAACGATTTAGGAGTACAATTTTGATGGTGACACGTTGATTACAATAATTACATAATGATCGACCATGCTATCGAGAACTTTGGTTGTTCACAACCTTTTATTATTTTAGTGATCGAAGATAATATGGTCGTCTACTTGTTGGTAACCATATAGTGATCGACTATATGGTTTTCATTTTGTCGACCATATGTTCGACCATCATATAGTCGAAGAGTTATGAAAACTGTAACAATCATATAATAATTGACCATAGACAACTTTGATGGTTGATAACCTTTATTATTAGTGATCGACATTAATATGGTCGTCTGCTTGTCCAAATATATGGTTTTCGTTTTGTCTACCATATTTTCGACCATCATATGGAGACAAGTAACATTTATAGAATGGTCGACCATGCTAATCGACTATATGGTTTTCATTGAGCAACATTTAGTCGAACATTTGAAAATCTGTGGCCTATATTAGTTGAATATTTTAGTGTAATGTCTGTCAAACAATAATATTCAACTTTATGCAGATGGATTCATCGGTATATGTTCATTACAATGGGAAATGGGAGAAGAACGATTTAGGAGAGTGCAATTATGATGGTGACACTAAGATTGGTGCTTTCGTTTGGGATTCTAGTAAAGTGGATTTTGAAGGGTTTATAAAGTGTGTGTACGAAGAGATAGGTTATGACCCCATGTCTCATAAACTGAAGATATCATTTCAACTCCCACGCTTTGGTAAAGTTGTTCCTTATACTATAGATAAAGATAAAGCACTTTCTGTATTTTTGAGAGACAAAGAAATGGATTCAACTTTAATTAATGTTGAGGTTGTTGAGGTTATTGAGGTTATTGAAGTACCATCTGTAACTCAAGAGATTGAAGAGGTAGATCGTGATGTACCATCTGCTATGACAAACTGTTTAGAGCATGGGGAGGAGGACAGTTCTAGGAATGATGAAGTTTTCTTTGAGGATTCATTTTTCCAATGCAGTATTGTTGTGGAAGGAGATCCTAATAATCCTGCTGTGTCCACACCCAAAAAAACTGAAAGACATGTAACTGATCTTGAAGTATCTGATCTCGATCTTACTCCTACCAAAGTAACTGATACTGGCGACCAAGTATTGGTCAAAGTGGCAAATGAGGTTGACCAACATGCTATGAAGGACGACCACTATGTAGTCGATCCTG